CTCGCGACCTAAGGGCCGGCCTAGTCTGGCGGCCTGTGCATGGTGCCGTCTAATTGACGCTACTCCCCGAAAGTACGAAATTCCCTATTTGCCGCACGTCACGGCAAATAATCAGGCAATCGCACACACAATCGTAGGATGGGCCAACCCATCTGAGCGTTTGAGCACTGGTATTTCCTTCACTCTTTTAAAAAATGTTTAGAATTTCAAAATTTGTTTGTGTTTTAATAAAAGTTCAGCGTTTCAAAATTTTCTCATGTGAAGAATTTTTTATAAAAATCATAATTTCTATTTCGCTATTTTTTATAAATGAGTTCAGAATTTTAAAATGCGCTCTAGTTTTCCAAATATTGTTCGTGTTTTCAAAAAAATATTTTTTTAGTAAATATTTTTCACAGGTTCAGAAAATGTTCATGTATTAAAAAACGTTAGTAGATTTCAGAAAATGTTTATCTTCTAAAAAAAGTAATTTCGGAAAACGTTTCTGTTTTAAAAAATTGTTCACATAACCTAAAAAATATTCAAAAATTTCAGTGAAATGCAGAATTTTGTAAACATTGTTTCTAAACAAAAAATGCCGCTTCTGAATGTGTTCATAACAAAAAACGCCGCTTCTGAATGTGTACCTAAGATACCTGTGCTGCCTTCGGAGAACATGGAGCTGGCCGATCGAGTGGCTAGCAGCTCCAATTAACTACAGTATGGGACCTGTTGGCTTAAGGCATGCAGGAACGTGGGAATTCATGGTATCATGAACGAGCTTTTTTCGTGGACAAACATACTTCCCGGTCTGTTTTTATGGATTCTTCACATGAGTATAGCCATATAGGGAATCTATACTCGAGCCTTTGACTTGGCCCCTGACAGGATAGGTGAGGAATCACTCTTGATCTGATCTATTTGGGCCTACAACTTCGCCAAAGCCGACTAGCATCCCTTTCCACTGCACATTTTTCAAACAAAGAAGACTACTAAACTAAAGTATGGAATTCTCTTTCCATGGTGAACTAGCCGTCCCATACCTTCATTTTGTCTCACGTGTGTTGAACATTGTCTTTCTCGGTTCTAATTTTACTGATGTAGGTAGGGTTGGGCAAGAAAGGGTCCCCTCTTGCCTATTATTAAGCGAGCCTTCAATTCCACCAGGATCTTACGGTCTCATAGAGGGGGGACTACTTAACTAAAGAAGAATAGCGCTCTTTGTGTTTGTAAATAAAAGTAGGCGTGGAGAGGTTTTTGCGGGGAAACATGCAAGTCAAGTTTGTGGGGAGGCGGGCATCGACCGAACCTTATGAATATTCAGACTATAAACAGTTCCGATGAACAGTCACTCACTTTTAACGGTTATATGATTCCCAAAGATGATACAAAATTGAGTCGATCACGTTTATTAGAAGTTGACAATGGTGGTTGTACCAGCGAAACCCATCTACATATGATTATAACACCCGTTTGTACCTTCCTCATGTGTCAAATGTGATGTTGTACGTGGTTGTTCAAATCTTACCTCCATCTAGAGATTTGTGGAACTAATCATGCCTTTACGCCTACTTGTGGAAGCAGTGACTTTGAAAGACAATAACAATCAAACAATGTTCAAAACTTAACCCGGGAATAACAATCAAAATGTAATAGTTTCTGCTGCGTAAGTGACTCCGAGAGATTGTGTTTCTCTACTAATTTCATTTGACAACATGAAATTCTCAGTGTACGTCATGGTGAATGAAAGTAGCATAGCATGGGAGGGGCAATTTGGTGCCCGTGCCCAGCTGCTCCCGATATCTATGCCTTCCGTTCCTCGCTCGGGATCTGGAAAAGGAGGTCAGCCGTGTCAAACGCGGTCCGCTGGAAATTCGCATGGAGGTGAAATACGGTACGAAACAGTGCGCATGATATGGACCCGTAGATGTGGTTGGCGTCTGGTCCATGGACCAGGACGTTAATGTCTTTCCCGATCCATGGAACAAATAAGAGGAACAGGTCGTCGGGCGAAAAGTTGGGCCGTCACGGGTGCAATACACATGCGCGTGTTCTGGAAACCCGTGCCGCCCAACCACCCCCCACACCCTCAGTAAAAGTTGAGTTTAGGAGTTTAGGAGCTCCAATAAGGAGGGTGTTATGTATAGCTGGGCCATCCGAAAGGTCTTTCTTTAGTCCCTGTAAACATTGTGACGGGTTGAATAAAGCTTCGCGAGATTGCCTCAAGAAAAAAAGTAAAAGTTGAGGTGGCGGCGGCAGCACGCCCTCGACACCCTTCCCTCCGGTCGACTCCATCCGTCCGCCGCCGCCGCACCCCAGCGTAATGCCCGGCAAAGTTGTCCCTTGAGGTGACGCTAGCTAGGCTACGGCCGGAGCTGGCTGAGACAATGGAAGATGCGGGCATGGAGTTCCTCCTCGACGCTGTTGACAGGTAAATGATTCTGGATCCGATAAAAAAATAGGACGGGAGTAGATTACATGTGGAATGACTGTCAATGGATGCCAATGGTCGCATCTATTTTGACAGGTTTCCCCTGCTTGAGGAATTCACGGACAGCCATGAGCAGCCGGATCCGGCTCCTCTGGTTTTGTTAGCGAATGGAGGAGCAGGAGCGAGCGGTCCAGGCTTATTCCAGTGCTAGCTCTGAATGTGGTCAGCAGGTTGGCGGCGACTGCAACGATGCTGCTCGCGCTGGGGTTCACCGACGGCACAAGTCGTCCCCGGCGAGGTCCACGCAATCTACTTACAGAATCAATCCCCAGGCCCCTGGATGGACAAAAATGTATGAAGAGAAGAAATCGTGGTTTCGTAGCATTCAGAAATTGTATTCGTAATCTTTTGAAAGCATGTGTTGGTGAAAATTTTAGAACATGGTTTCTATTTCAGACCTGAAATAGGCGAATAGGTAGTTAAGAACAAAAAAAGAAAATATGCCACCACGACCCATTTGCATCACTGAAAGAAAATGTTAGAGATCTTACGTTAGTGAGTGAAAACCACAACATAGTTGATGCCGGTCTTAATCAGAGAACAGCTATTTATATCGATACTGAAGAAACGTTGAAATGCAGGTTAAGACTGGGTAGTGCGCCACCAGACCGGAGTCCGTGTCCACCTCGAATGAGTGCTTTGGAGCAGTCAATTCGGAAATACACGGAGAAACCAACAAAAAGTGTAATAAGACCTGAACTAGGATTGAGTTTTGATTCGTTGGGCGAAGCATACAGCTTTTACAATCTGTATTCGTGGGAAATTGGCTTTGGTATTAGATATGGCAAGAGCCGGTTGAATGCAGAGAGAACTAAATGCATGCAGGAGATCGTCTGCGGTTGTTCGGTAAGTTTTGAATTCCGTGTAGTTTTTTGTTTGAGATTCTAGATAAGTGTTCTGACCTTGCGATCTGTATGGACAACCTGAAGGGAAAGCCAGAGATGGAGAATAGCAGGTCGTGCAGGTGCGAGTGTCCAGCCTTGATTAGATTGCTACGCGTTGCGGATAACAGTTGGTATATTACTGAGCACCGTGAAAGCCACAACCACTCCATGTCACCGACGATGGGCGAGAAGGTGCACTGGCCCTCACACAAGCACACACTAAGGATTTGATAAAAGCAGATGAGGGAGAATAATGTGAATCTTGGTAAGGTTTGCAGCATAATTTGCAGCTATTTCGGATCAGTCGAGAAACATTTACAAAAAGGACTCTAAGGAACATTTGCAGGGAGATAAGCCGTGAGCAGGCGGAGGATGATGTCCAGAAGACTTTGGAGGTGTTTGCGGACATTGTTAATGGTGACCCCGGTTTTACATACAAAGTTCCGGCAAAAAATAGGTAGTAAAGTGAAGAACGTCATGTGAACAAATGGGAGCAGCAGAATGCAGTACAGGTTCTTTGGGGATGCCGTAACTTTCGACACCACTTACAGGAAGCCTGTACGACATGCCTTCTGGACTATTTGTTGGGATGAACAATCATTTTCAGAGTATAATTCTTGATGGTGTCTTGATGAGGGACGGATAAGAAGAGAGTTTCGAATGGGTGTTCTTGCAGTTCATGCAGATGATGGGAGGACCTTCTCCAAGGACTATTCTGACAAGTAAGTCATGGACAGCACGATACCCTTGTGTTGGTAAAAGTCACACTTCATGTATAGCTGACGACTTGTGTTTGCAGACCAAAACCGAGCCATGGAATTGGCCATAAAGAAGGTTTATCCAGGCACGGTGCACAGGTGGTGCAAATGGCATGTCCTGAAGAAAGCAAAGGAGATGTTAGGGCTGTTGCATACGAAGAAATCTGATTTTCAAGCTGAGTTCCACAAGGTTGTGAACTACATGTTAACCATAGATGAGTTCGAGGCAGGGGTATTTTGTTATATAAACACAATTTGAGGAACCATACATACATGACGCAGTTGTATGAGATTAGAGAAAAGTGGGGAAGTCGTACTTCGAGGGGGTTTTCTGCGCCAAGATGATGAGCACTCAACGCAGCGAAAGTGTGAATCACATGCTGAAGACCTACATGCCACCAGCGAGTCCAATGCACGTTTCTGTGAGGCAATACATGAGGCTGTAGTTTGATCGAGAGCGAGAGGATAGCTATGAGGAGAAGAGGACAATGATAGTAAGTAATTCGTTCCTTTAGTTTTTTAAGTTAAAAGACGGGGAGCATTTGTTTTCTATCGAGATCGAGTAAATATAATGTCATTTGTTAGTACTGCTAACTCCGAGAAAATGCTCAATGGTATTGACAGGGTGGAGCAGTGAGGAGAACTAATTTGGCGATAGAGCGGCATGCAAGTAGGATATACACAAGAGCGATGTACGAAGAGTTTAGGCGCCTAGTAACCGAAGCTACTGCCTATAATGTCACAGAAAATAGAGAAGATGAGGAAATATCTTGCAGTCCACAACAATGCAGCCAAGAGAGAAAAATGGAGCAGATTGAGTATGAAGTGAACATAAATGATGACCAATGACAGTTTACATGTGAATGTGGTCAGTTCGAGCACACTGGGATGTTGTGCAGCCATGTTCCGAGGGTAAACTTCCGCAGCAAATTTTATCCTGATAGGATGAAAAATGTTTCTCGACAAAGCATAACTAATTGCTTATTTTTCCAACAACACAGGTGATGGAAATACTTCATCTCGAAGAGATCCCCGCTAAGCATATAGTGAAGCGGTGCACAAAGGACGCGAGGGACATACTGTCGCAACACCGGGCTCAGTATCAGAGAGACAACTCAGCTAACATGTCCTTTACCTGTAGACACTCGAAGCTGTACCTGAAAGCCATGGAGGTGGTGAGGATGGATGATGCGAGTGCGACAGCGTACGATCACCTATATGAAGGTTTGGACGCCCTGCTGGTGAGTGGTGCACCTTTGGCCGAGAAGAGGGTCGGCTTGGGTCTCCACGACCGAATGGCCGGCTTAACTCCTGGTACATTGCTTGGCAATGATGAGATAGCATACCTGGGTGGCGACGGTGCTGAAAAATGCATCAGTACTGGAAACTCTGTTAATGTGAATGGTCTGCACGGTCTAAAAGCACCGGATAAGCAGAGGGGAGTTGGAAGATCAACAAATAGTAGAGAAAAGGCATCGTACGAGGGACTCAGTAGGCGAAACAGATTCTGCAGTATATGCAGATGCGAAGGGCACAAACAAACTACATGCCCTGAGAGACGGGATGCCCTGAAGAAACCACGAAAGCCCGGTAGATGCAAGAATTGTGGTATGGAAGGGCACCGGCGGACCACATGCACAAGGCCTTTGGGTGTTACTGAGAAATGAGGACTGAATTTCGAGAGGAGCGATGATGACTTTGCTGATGAAAAAAAAAACTTCTGCTTGTGTAATATGAAGTTTCCTTAATTTATGAAATGGAACTGCTTTCTTGAACGTGTTGGTTGCTTCTTTACCTGGGTATAAGCATATATGTATTGCAAAATGTCTCATAAGAGTTGCTGTGTGCTAGATTTGGTCTTGGGCTGTAGACACTTGTCTAACATGCATCCATGTACCGATCTTGTTTGTGAGCACGACGCACGTTCAAAATTCGAATTGCTGAATGGAAGTAAAAGAGCTCCAGTGGCAAGTGACGTGTGTGGCTGACATGGTCGTCACTATAAGAGTGGGAGGCTGGCAACCCCGTTTTGAACAGGATTAGCACTGGATCTACTTGCATCAGGAGAAGCAATGATTACCGTCCCTCTACAAGAAGTGTTTAGTGACTGACGGAAACTGCATACTGTTTCCATTTCCATGCACCTTTAAGCAATGATTACCGTCCCTCTACTTTTAAGGGTCCTTCATTCGCGCCATCTCCAGGCCAAACGAGACCAAGACCACAACTTGGCATTGCTTCTCTCAATGCAAGAATCGTTGATCGAAACAATTTACTATTACTATGAAAAAAACAGCAAATAAAATCTAGTCCTCCCTTGATCCAAATTAATTGGCATACACTTAATACAACTTTAGTACTACAAATTTATACCAACAATTGTGCATCAATTAATATGGATCGGAGGGAGCAACTTAATGTGCCCACATTACATAGTCAAGTCTATCTTAATCTGCCAACATTACATGGTCAAATCAAACTTAACTTGTCCACATTACATAGTCAAGTACTCCATAGTACTTAATCTGCCCACATTACATAGTCAAATCTATCTTAATCTGCCCACGTTACATATAATATAGTACTTGACACTAATCTAACCAGGATAAAGGTACCCCTAACAACACACATCACTCCAGAAATAACAGCTTCACTGCATAACATTAAACACAAACACACATCACCCCAAGCCATTACATCCTCCCTAGACCATAGCCGGGACAAGAGACCATGCGATGGTGACCTCCAGCTTACAAGAGCGAACTTGAAGCATACGCGTGTTTCTGGAGGCTTCCCTGGCTTTGAATGCTTTAGAATCTCCCTCAACAGTTTGATCCTCCAAACCATTTGCCATGACAGAGACTCTCAGCATTCCATCAGCTTCGACAGACAAAACACGGCGTGAAAGCTGTATCGTGCCATCAGCTGCAACTGGCAGTTAATCGAAAGCAAGCAACTTGATTTCTATGTCACTGATACTGGCGGTACGGGCAGAAATTAGACCTCCAAAGCCTTCTGGCCATTCCCCATCGACAACTCTGACACTGATGGTGGCCTCCACAGATTCAGCCATGTCACCCAATGTCAATTCCACTGTGCTAAGCTTGCTAGTTTCGACACGTTTAAACATGTAAGATTCACGACAGCCAGACTCATGGCAATTAACAACTAGATAGCTCAAAGCTCTATCCTCAGATTCAGTTCTGCCCTTCACTCGCAAGTCAACCTCAAAGAACACAGGATCCACAACCACAACAGCACGGGTAGGACCTGTCAGTGTCAGGTATCGATTCTGCATGCAAAATTTACAAAACAAATTATGTGTTATTTATCGAAAAATACAACTGGAACGACTGGATTGGAAGAAAACCAATATATGCTGACACCAAGGAACAATGCATCCATGGAGAAGTAATCCATTTATCAAGCTAAACTTATCAATAAGAGCTTGAAGTAAATATCTTTTGGTAGCAAACACTAAAAGGCAGACTTTGCCAAGACTGTAACAGCAAATAAGTTCGAATTGGGTCAGCAAGCATTGTTGATCTTCAAAACCCTCACGTTTTGAAGAACCAATTTAAACTAACAATATGTATATATACTAAAGCAAAAGGAGAGGCAAACATTGAACAGCATAATCAAAACATATACTAGGAAACTGTACACAGGATGCAAACGATTTAGAGACAAACAATATTTTTTTGCTAAGGGGTGCATATACTCTAAAGCAATTTTCTAAAGAGATTCCTTTGCCAATAGATTGAAAACAGTGCTAAAACATTTGCAAGCAGAATTTCACAGGAGAACACAAGAAATTATCAAGTACAAAAAAAAAATAGAATACTGGTGACTGGTCTCAAACAAACTGGAGGAGGAAAGAGACTCAAGAATCTGCCTATCCGCTGTGGGGGCACATTGTCAAGGGCCAATTATTTTCATAGGGAAACAGTCAAGAGAGGGTAAAAAGTGCAGTCACTATTCCCCTATATCGGCCTGGAAGAAATTTACACAAACTTGACATTTGAAATGCACAAAGATTATACTCGAACCCGTAAGTCAACTCAAACAAAATTGAACACCATGCAAGCATACATGTGATTTCATGTCGTTGATTTCTTATGTGGCATCCTTTAAGAACTTAGAATTTTTTGCAGAAAAAGAAAAGGAATGATTCCCACTTACACTAGTATACTTATAATACTCCATGGATTGATCATTTGGTATGATTTCTCATAACCATTGGCAATAGCTACTACTCCCTCTCTTCCGGTTTATAGGGCTCAATTCAAAAATCTCACCAACCAAGGTGAAACAATCAAATTGAGTAAAACGGAAAAACTAAAAATTTGAGACTTATAAAACAGAAAAACTAAAATTTCAAGATAAGCCCTATAAACCGGACGAGGTAGTACCATTGTTTCGTGAAGCTATTTCCTAGTAACAATCAGGTTTACAATGGCTGGTTTAGAATCACCTAGTTCATGCATGGAACTTGGTAGCAATATCACAGACCCCCGCAAACTTATACTCCCTCCATTCCTAAATACAAGTCTTTTAGAGATGTCAATATGGATTACATACGGATGTATATAGACGTAGTTTAGAGTGTAGATTCACTCATTTTGCTCTGTATGTAGTCCATATTGGTATCTCTAAAAAAACTAATATTTAGGAACGGAAGGAGCATATCTGTATTGATATGAATTATTAACTGTAATCATAGTTCAGAGAAACCAAAAGCCACTGATGTTAACATATGCCGAGGGTATGTATATTTCATCTCCGCAAAGCCTAAAATAAGTAATTTAAATCTCTAATATCATCATATATCTCCCAATAGCCCAGTACATTTGTATATTATTTGAAGTCATGTGAAAACCAGAACAAATAGTGTTCACAGAGGTAACATAGGCACCAAATAACAGTAGAGAGTAATTTCATCATATATCTCCCAATAGCCCAGTACATTTGTATATAATTTGAAGTCATGTGAATACCAGAACAAATAATGTTCACAGAGGTAACATAGGCACCAAATAACTGTCGAGACGAATATACAAACCTCACTGTCGATGGTTTGGCAGTTATCCCTTTGACGGCCAAAGATAATGTTGCGATTGTGATCCAACGAGTCGCGTGCGGCAACGATACCAAAGACATGCAGCGGCCACCCCAATTCCTCTGTGATGGCTGCTACTTTGACCGAAAAGACCTGCAGAGTTCGGATGGGGTACACATCTTGCGGAGGCTTCTCGTCCGTGTAAAGCATGGGTTGGATAAGCGCTGCAGATTGATGTCAATCGATCAAGACTATTTGGTTAGATATTTCCAAGAGCAATTGATCAGAAGGTAGATAGGGGGAAGATTTGGGTTTGCTTACTGATATCCTCCCATTTACCGAAGGAGCCGGCCCATAGAAGATCCCAGAATTCACGGTAGTCCTTGGCTTGTTCGGCCAGCCAGTCGGTAGGATCTTTTGGCTCCAGCTTCATGGCCTCCACATTTTCAGCCATCCACTGGTCCGAGATCCTGATTGCCTCGGGATCTCCCGTGGCGATCCACTTGATGACGGCGTCCAGCTCCCCCTTCCGATCCTGGTTCATGTGCGCCTCCTCCCCCTTGGCTCTGTACATGGCTGCCGCCGCGACGTCTTCCTCGGTCATCGTCTTGGTCTTATAATGGGGGCCCTCCCCGCTCTCCACTCCCACAAGCTTGGCAATCTTTGCGTTTAGAATCTTTTTTGTCCTCGCCAGATTCGATTTCGCTGTACTGATCGACTCCACTTGCCCCTCTTCGTTGTCGCTCTCCTCCACCGGATCCTCCGCCGCCGCCGCCTTCTTCGAGCCTACTCCCGCCGCCGTCTTCCTTTTCTTCATTTCGCCGCCGGAACCACTCTCCCTTCTCTCCGTCTCCTCCTCCGCTTCCTCCTCCTCCAAGAACGCCTCCATCCTATCAGCCCAGTAAAGCTCAATGTAAGAATCGATTTCTGCCTGCGTCTCCGCCATCGCCGCTCTCCTGACGGAAGAAAACCCTAGATCGATCTATCTTCTACTCCGTACTACAGCTTCCTCTGGGTGGGGGTGGGGGATTTTCCTTTGGGATGAGGCCAGCTAGGGAACTATGCCGGGTATTCGGTTGGGCTTCTCTGGCCAGCCCGCCTATACTTGGGTCGATTTGGATCCGAAAGCCCAATCACCGCCCCGTCCCTGATAGGAAAACTTCTTCTTCTGTAGCTCAAAAAAAATAAGGAAAACTTCTTCTTTTGACATTATATATATACACCGCCTCTTTTTTACTCTCCCCTCAAAAAATATCTACTCCATTATTTACTTAAAATAATAATAATAATAATAATAATAATAATATACACCGCCTCTTTTTGCGGGGGGACTTTCAATCTATTCATCAACTGCCATGGCAGTACAAAAAATGCCAGAAATAATAAAAATTACATCCAGGCCCGTAGACTACCGAGCAACGATTAGAAACACTGGATCGAGCCGAAGGCGTGCTGTCGCCATTGTCCCTACCTCACCCGAGTCGGGCAAAACTTGTTGTCCTCCCTCAGTTACGGAGTAGGAACCCTTCATCGGCAAGGCCCGAGATCCACCACGCCTCCATAGCACTAAGGCCTCAGGAGACGAGGCGCGTCGGTGGCGGCGCCGAT